GTCTCCAGCCATCTCCGGCATCCTCTAGCGTCTCTTTGACCCTAGTGGGTGCTAGAAAAATATTTCTGAGGTGGTGGTTATCTTATAATGTGTTTTTACACTTCGATTGTAACATTGACCTAGACGAAGATATGTCTTTGCTATCGTATATTTAATTTTAGTTTATGGTCTTTATTATCGTATATGTAATTTTATTGTAAGGTTTCTACTATTTTATGTTGTATTTCTGTTGTAACCTATATATGTTATATATCAATGTTTGTTCTACGTAACATCACACTCCCTGTTACGTGCATTCAGATTCCCTTCATCATTTTTTTTTTAATTTGCTAATTTCAGCACACGAGGGCGTCGTGCCCAAGTCGATGCTGATCGCCGGTCCTATGCTATGTGGATGTGGATATGACCCTGATGCCCGACGAGTAGGGTAGAGTAGGGTAAGACGTGGTAAAAGATGTCAATGTCTCTCTTCATATGGCCAGAGCAAAACTTCACTTTTATTTTTGCCACTCAATAAAACTCCCAGCCAACCTTTTACCCTCTGTGCTTCCCAATACACAAAGGTCACTTTCTATGAAATTCAATGGAATCCGTCACATAAACAACCAAGCAATAAAACATGAAACCAAAACTTCTTTAGATGAAGCTAAAGGGTAATAGTTTAACTTCTAGGCTGTTACAATGTGGAACCGGATGATGGACCAAGCCGACTAGACATAGGCCCTATTCGCGTGCCCTTAAATCCGGCTTGATCCGCTTATTTTTTCATCCGGAACAGTGTTTTTCTCTCACAAATTCCTCCAATATTCCTCCAAACTATCCAGATTCCTCCAGAATTCAGACAAGCGAACAGGCCCATAATCCAGGTGGGTGTTGTTCTAATGCACATAGATGGAAGTTAATCTGGATAACTCTGGAGATCTTGTTCTAGTTTGGGGTGCACTCAACGGATTGGTTTGGTTCCTCGATTTTAATCAAAATTAGGTTACTGAAAATAGTGAACCGATCAGTTAGTAAAATTTAATATGACTAAGAAAATAGGTCTTGGTATCTATCACAGCTGACGTAACTGAGTTATTAGAAAGTCATAAAGAATCAAAACAATAAAGCAAAATCCAATCAGTCATTTGCACCTATCAGGGTTGTTTAAAACCCACTCGGCTTCGCTCGCACGAGAGAAATCGAGGCATCGGTGGCTCCCTCACGTGCTGACGTGTGCCCTCTGGCAATTTTGCAGAAAGACCCTCTATCTTTACACAAATAAACCCGTCGTCCAGTTTGTCAGTCCTAAATAGTAACCACGTTGTCCTCGCTTCGCGTAAAATGATTAACCCGAGGACGTGGGATGGACTCTAGAAGTCTTATATGTTGGTCTAACCCACCTTTAGCATCCAAGGTGGGACTAAACCCTCCATAATATCTCATTAACATGCACATAGGTCACAACGGGACAAATTTTAAATTGGACCGGATGTCACATGAAAATTTGCAAAATACTTGTCTTTTGCATAAACCTCCCCACGACAGATTTTTGCAGAGACACCCCCAACCCCTCTCCTCATTCCTCTCTTTCCTTTCTCTCTCTTCTCCCCGCCCCCGTTGGTTGTTGCCACTCGCATTTCAACGCGTGCCTGCTGGCTCGCCATCGTTGCTCCTCGACCTCCTCCAGCAGCGCATCCATGGTGGAAAGCTATTCCGGCATCTAAGGATCCCACGTGCGGTGTTGAGATGGCGCCATCCGACACCTCGAGCCTCATGGTCACCTAGTTTCTGAGCACCCACGGAGCGGATCCGGCTGGGTCCAGCCTTGATGGCAGCAGATCCAGCTTCGATGGCAACGGATCCATCTAGCATAAACCAGCTGCACTACGACATGAGGCCACCTTAGGTGCGTGCGTGCTACTCCTAGGGAGGTTGGGTCGGCTACGGTGCGGGGGAGCATACTGGTGGATTACCGTTGACTTAGTTTTTTTTGTTCCAAACGTATATTGATTTTAATCTGGTGAGCATACTGGTTGGATTACCTATTTACCTTGGACTGGCATCTGGATAGTTGTGATCTTGAACAAATAAACACGTTTGATCTATTTGTGGGTACTTCATTAGGACTAGCAATATCTACCAAGATTTGCTTTTGATACATTGTGGGTAGTTGTGATAATATGGTGATCTTTACTTTGTTCTACTTAGTTTTGCATAGAAGTCATGTGTGTCAGGTTATGAAGGCATGATTGACTTGGCATTTGACTAGGCCTATCGTGTTTGGATTTCTGGATCATGGTTTCGGCATTTGACAAGTCTATAGAAATTCTATTTGCTAGAAATTTGGCAAATTCTGGATAGTTGCATTAGAATGTCATGTACCATCAGATTCTTGAACCTTCAGTTGCTTTTAGTGTGAAAAAATCCTTGAGGAGCAGCACTTGCTTTTGAGATGTGTTAGGTAAATATGAAATAATGGAGATCTGAGTTAGCTCTTAATTTCGTTGCATGTACTATCAAAGGGATTTAGCGCTGCCGGTTTGAATAGTAGTAGTGCAAAGGATGTTCTGAACTGTATTAATGCTTACTTCTCCATCATTGGGTAACTTTGCTGCCATTGGCGACTTTGGAGTAGATGGTTCTTTGCGTATTCAAGCTATTATAAACTGGTTAGTCGAACATAATTTATCTATATTTTGACAATTATTCCTGCATATGCTAAATAAGACCTTGGTGGGGCTCCTTTTCAGAGCTGCTTAGTTTATCATGCTAATCATTATAGTCAGAATATTGGGATGATAATTGAAACTGAGGACGGGGCACTCGTGCGCAAAGCCAAGGAGGACCAGGGCTGCGCCGCCGTGGCCCTTGTCAGGCCCGCACGCATCCAGGCGCTGCTCAGCATCTATAGGTCATCGGCCCAGAGCTTCGTTGCGCCCAAACCAGCCAACACACCACAGATCAGCCCATCTCCACATCCAGGGAAGGCCTCCGTCTGCATGATAGCACCAACGGCGTGCCCTGCGTCCTCGACAAAGATGAGCTGCTGCTTCCTAAGCTTATGGCCATGTAATTGTCGATTCAGCAATGATCCTCGACTTAGTATTTGAAGTACTGCATGCTCATTTTTTCAGTCATCTGTTGAACTCTCTGGGGTAATTTATTTCGATATTCGATAATTCTGCGTCATTTTAGATCAAATTTCTCTTTTTTTTTTTTTCGGTGTTCCTATCGCCTTTGTGTGAAAAGAGCTAGGTGGGTCGTAGAAAAGGCTTTAGTTCAGATCCTTTTTCAGTTAACACAGGACCAATCTGGTCTGTAGTGGTCAAACAGAACATAGGATTTCACTTCACACATAAAGGCTTTCCACACGGGTGAAAAAGATATTTATTTTTAAGCTCATTTCGTATTGTTTTTGGCTGGCTAGATTGTATTGTATATTTGTATGTTATTGTATTGTACTATTTAATCTAAAGTTGTACATGGCAGAGACTAGAGATATTGTCATGGTTCAGGATGAAGCTCTGGCTACCCAGAAGACTCGAAATACAGCATCCCCTTCTAAGGTAATCATTTATGAGAAGTAGCATTGTTTCCAACTCATGTATATAATTAGAACTTTTTTTTATAAATGAAGAGAGGGCACAACTGAACTAGCTCTCTTCAGACTTATATATGTTTCTTAAGCTGTCGATATGACATGTATAGTGAACTCAATCTTGCCTGGCCTGCTCATTCTTATGTTTATTGCTGTTTTGATTTGAGATCTTACAAGGAATGACAACATAATTTATTTCTGACTAGGATTTTGTTCTACTATTTACAATTTAATGTGTCATCAATTATTTCTATTTGCTGGATTATCCAACTCCTCCATATCCTGATTGGTCAATCATGCAGGTAGAGTTTGGGTATTTTGCTGAACTCCCACCTCGCTGGAACATGGTGGGTATCAAAGCAGGGACTATTCGGTCCCATCCTGTTGAGTCTCAAAAACCCAAATGTGGTTGATCAGATGAATATAGTTGGACAACTTTTATACTCTGTTTGGTTTGTAGTAACCATTGATTGCACAGCCTGTAAAGTGTTTTCATCAACCATTGTGCACATCATCCCATATGCCCTTTCTATTTACAGAGCAGTCAATGATACCTAATCAGCAAAAGAGGAAGGCCACATCACATTTGCCTCTACTGTTTGCATCTAACTGTTTATGTGTGTTTGCTCAACTGCTGGTCGACGTCTGATGTTCAGCGTCAGGGGAACTTGACACTATGATGATAGGATCTGTCTTTTGCAAAACTCATGGCTAGAAACTGTAGTTTGCCGTTCGAAGCTTCCAGCTAAGTGTTTGATAGTCTGAATTCCATATCGTAAATTGTAACGAATAGTTTGTAATGTATGGTTCAATAGAACCGTAGATATAATGAAGGGTTGTGTAACATATAGCCGAGCACATTCATGGAAGCTACAGTGGACATACAAACCATGATTTATGAGGTAAGCTGAACGGGGCCTACGTGTCATGTTTCTATTGGTATAATATGATATATGCTTGATCTTATGTACTGACACTATGGTGATGTTGGCAATTACTATATATTAATGTAGGTGAATAATATCATAGTTTTACCATATGTAATTATGGAGCCATGTCTATCGAACATAGATGCTTTTGTTCTTTAAATCACAGCAGGACGCCCGAAGGGTGCCTGATGCTCTAGTAAGCATCAAACTGGAACAAGATACACTAGGATCGGAGGACCAACTTGATTTGGCTTCTTTGCTTCCATCCTACCGTGGATCCTGTTCTCTGTCATACAGAGTAGGATGCAGGAGAAAATCTTGGTCCTAGAACTGCTCCTCAAAATCCTGATCATCTAACTGCTCATACTCAATATGCAGGATCATCACCAAACAACAATTTCCAAAAAAAATCATTACAGAGCTTCTCGGGAACCAACTGGTGCCTCGTACTTCACTCTGAGTTCTTCAAAAACCTGGTTCAGGTGAGGTGTTCACCTGGCCACAGCAATCCTCGCAGCATATTCCTTGTCAGAATAAGGGCAAAGTATCTCGGTGGCTTGTGCTTCGACTCGCTCGATGGTATCCTCATCACTCTCCCCTTCAGCGCTCTCAATCTTGAAGAAGGGAAATGGCACCATGCCATCAGGACCGCAGAGGGGGGGTGGAGGGGAGCTCACATTCGTAACCATAAACTCTATCCAAGTATATCAACCAAGGTGCCAGACACCAGCAGCAATGAACTCTTCAACTAAATCACGGCGCTGCTGAAGCAGACTGAAAGTTCAAAAGCCTTCTCGCGAAATTGACCCTCGGCACCCTGATGTAAAACCAATGTTGATACCAATTGTTACTCCACCAGTTACACTGAGCATACGAGATCTGGACCATATATCTCTTGCCCATGTGAGTGCCGCATCGGAATGAAGGTGCACCTGGAAAATTGTGCATCCTTCATCTCACCGTTGAATATGCTTCGGTCGATTCTGCAACTCATAATGCACGCAGAAGCAGTCAATGTCGGCCTCCAATCCGAAGGTCCGGTAGGCCCAGTAGAACTTGGTCAGGTTCAAGATGTCGTTTGGTGTCAACTGGTGAAGCTGAACACGGGAGCTATCCAACACCTCCTGCAGAAAACTGACTGAAGGCAACCGAAGGTCACATGTGAAAAGATGCTGAAATACGACAACCTCGTAAGTATTGGGCTTGGGCTTTGTCTCACCCATGCGAGACCTCACTCTCTCCCACCTCAAACCACTCCCGCTCAGGATGATATCGTTTTAGATCAGCTTCAGTGGTCAATGAATGCCCAAACTAAAGGGTCTCCTCAATTTCGGCCTTGCCTTCGTTGGCCCGACCTTTGTTGGCCTCACCTTCGTCGGCCTGGTCTTCGGCAATGACCAAATCATCAACGTCGGCCTCAACATGTCTTAAAGTATCCTCGAAAAACTCTTGGGCCTTCGTACTGGCCATCATATACAATCCTGGATAATCGCAGCGTAGTCCTTGTCACTAATGTTGACTACACTACGCCAAGAACCACGCCCTCAGAAAACGGCAGCCCCAGGACTAACAAATGAAGGCTACACACGAAAGAAACTGGAAATTTAACCGCAGGGAAAGCGACCGGGGGTGCCTCTATTTTACCCTGCCCCCTTCACTCAAGCGACAGTCCAACTCCCGCCACGTCTTGGTCAAACTCCCGTCCCGTCACTTCAACTGCAACGCAATGAGAAGGCCAACAGCCAGTTCACTCATCAAAAGTGAATGTGTGAAGCAGGCCTAACACAAAGGATACCGGGGGAGAGTGAACCCTTGGGGCCAAAGGCAAACACCATGATTCGAGGATCTAGCTCGTCTGCGTCCAGTGGCGGAGCCAGGAATTATGTTCAGGGGGCCGGCCGTCAGGAATTATACTTAGGGAGGGCCAGCCAAAAGAGCCAACATGTAAAAACTAAGTGCAACTCAACTCATTAGGTTTCTTTGTGACAAGCAAAGTTGTGTTTTGTATGATTATATTATCTAGAATATATTAATAGATATATATGACAAGAATTTTATATAATCTCCCACTTAATATAAATAAAAAATATTAAGTCATACTACTAAATTTTTTTGTTGTGAAATATTGGGGGGGCCTGGCTCCGCCACTGTCTGCGTCAAACCTCACCCTCGAAGGGGGGACCGTTGGGGGGTGAAGCCTCGTGCACAAAGGTTCACTGACCGCTTCTAACTCCTTCGAGATGTATGAGTCATGTGATCACAAGTACCATGGTGGAAAATCCCGGTGGCTGCGAAGGTCCCCATGGAGTGATACAAGAGGTCGATACCGAAGGTCCTAGAGAGCCTACGGCGGAGGCTGATGAGATGAGCCTTCAGAAGAGGCACCAATGAACAAAGGCTCGAGGCGGCGGACGACGAGCCTACAAGGAGCCTTCAGCAATCAATCCCTGTGGGTCCCTCAAGTGACAGAGGAGGCCACCTCTGCATCGAAGACCCCAAGAACAGGCTAGACAGCCAACGGGCTAGTGCTGTGGCTCAACAATGGCCCATCTAGAGAGGCAGCTGAACATGTAAAAGTCTCTAAAGCCCTTGAAATGTTGTACTCTTTAAAAGGGGGAACATGCGATAGGATATTCCCCAGCTGGCAAGGGCTATTGTGTACATGTACATGTGTGTAACCGTACCCTATAAAAAGGAGACTCAAACCCCAATGAACCCCAATGATAGAGAGATCAATGACACACTTACCAAGAAATAGTTGTCTTGATAATCATCGCCTTGTTCGGCTGGGGCTGACTAGGCTGGCTAGCCCCCTCACAAAAAACTGTTCATCTAAACCAGCCAGCAGTACTTCTCTCTCACATAAACAAACCAGCAACGATACGAACCAGCCAACCGAACATGTTGCATGCTCTGATGGGCGAAGGAGCAGCCATCATGAAAGGAACCCTCGCCGGCCCGAGACGTCTGTTACTATGTTTTCCGTCCTATGGGAATACGCTCATCACAACAAGATCCAAAACCAAAGCATGTAGAAACCTAGCTTGATCTCCCCCTCCTCCCTGCCTGACCCTGCCTAGCTCTTTGGGCTATCTCTGACCAAGCCGCGACCAGTCCTGGGGGTGTGTGAGCTTGGCACAGCTCACTGGTCAGGCCCTTATTGCTGGCGTGGCTAGCACAGGCCGAAGTGACCACTCCCTTTGCCTGCTGGTTTTGTGTGTACGTGGAGGAAGTGGGGGAAAGATATAGAAAAAAGACAGGGTTCCAGATGAGGAAGTGCAAGAGATAGAAAGAAAGTATTGGAAGGGCTGAGGTGATTTTGAAATAGCTAGTTTGGGTTTCCAATGAAAAAGAATAGCTAGGGGAACTGTTTTAGGTAGTATTGTCACAGACAACAGGAGAAAGGAGGCCGTATAAATTAGAAGATATACCTAAACACGCAAGTAGGCATCTGTTTTAGGAAGTGCAATATTTATTAGCCACAGGTTACAATATTAAACATTCTCAATGCCTCCAATTTACCAAAGAAGTCACCATGTTATTTGCCTTACAGGAATATTTTTTTGTTGGATTTAAAAAAACCTAGTATTTTTATCCATTATCACAAAACCTATCAGTATTCTATAATTTATTTTTTTAATAAAGTGGAGGAACAGAGCCTTTACTCGATATATACCACATATATAAAGGAACACAAAAACATGTTCCAAAAACAATGTATAGTTTCACCAGCATAATATCAACCACTAGAAATTTAAAGCCATTAAGTGAATTATTGATGTCCCTAAACACTGGCAACCAGCCAACCAAGCAACTATGGTTTCCACATAAAAGAAACCGTTATTAGTTACATAAATTCGATAACTTATCTCAAAGTACAAGTATCATAGACAGAAGTACTACACGGCATTTATATTTTCCAATTGATATCAACATAGAAGTAAAAGAAGCTCCATATGCTTAAAGCAGACCAGTGCTGCTTGCAACATTCTTTCAGCTCCTGATGCCTCTGAAAAAGACTTCCTATATATTCTTCAGAGATGCAACATTATTTCAAATTCTTCATAGCTCCTGATGCCACTAGTAATGTGTATTCCAATACTTTGTGGACTTTGATCAGTACCATCTCTAGAAAATCATGTAAGTATATTTAGACTGTGTTCAAGCGATCGAATTAACATAAAACATCATATAGTGACGACAATAAGATATCATCAATTAAATTACCTTAATTTCAACAGTTTCAAGGAATGGAGAAAGGTTCACTAGATGTTTTGTTGGAGATTCAGAAAAGTTTCCATCAACTCTTAAAATCCTTAGATTTTGAAATCCCAACAAAAGATCTTTGAATATGTTCATTGCAGCTGCCTGAAAATCATAATATCTTTTTGTTATCTAACATCATCTCTATGTCATGTTATAGTGACCAAATAATGATATTCAATCTTTTGAACAAGAACATGTGAAATATAAACATCAGAATTATGCAGGTCCTGTTTTTTGTAATTCCACGTAGACATCAAGGATGATAGATGCCCGAATATGTACATGCACAACTGTTATAAGGAGGCACCAAAGGATACTGAACAACTAGGCACTCTCAAAATATGAGTTACACATTATAGATATATGTAATTTCCTTTTTGTACATTTACTTATTCTACCAAAGAATTTGATTCTGTTTTACATTTAATTATGCCAGCTCTAACAGATGACAGAGGACGCAACAAGAGTCAATTTGTTCACTTTACATTTGCATAGACTTTCATTTTGATTTAGCCTATTTTTCTTCAAATAATAGAATTATAGCCAGATAATTAACATTAAGTAGTAATAAATTATGTGGAAAGAATCTCTCACAACACTCTATGTTCATATGAATGTACTAATAAACTACACAAGAATGCTGGGGATAATTATGAGAAACAAATTTGGAGAATTAAGAGAAGACTGAAAGTATATTATTAGCACTACATGCATTTCAGTAAACATGTTGTTGGAACAAGTTATGTCTGTGTCTCATCATGACCACATAGAAATTTACCTCTTCCCAACATGTTTGATGATGTCTCTAGCAGAGATTGGGGATAGGGCTCATCTATCCTATCTAAACTAGTTATTACTGTGCTTTTTGTATTTTCATGATCGACATAAAAGGATGGGCCAACAATGGACACTGTAAGCAAAGAGGGGCATGCAGGGCTAAAGATGGCTTTAGGTTCCCAGTATTTTTAGACAAATAAATTAGCTTTTCTTGGCTACAAGTTAAGGACGGCTTATTGGAGACGCATGACAATGTGTACGTCTCCAAAATTAAACATGCTCACAGTGTCGAAAATGATTCCTACACAAATCCAAGGAAAAAAAAATAAAATATCAAACCATCTATACGCCCTGCTGGTGAATCTCTCACAACACAGATCCAAACATAACCCACACACATATGTTATTATTTCAGACTATTGTTTGTTTGCATCATAAGTTATGTGTTGGTGCACTTTGCCTTCTTGGTTTAGACAATGGGTGTTGAACAGCAATAATTTGCACCTGGCAAATGAAACACCTACGCACACGTTCCCGTAACTGAGTTTTGAATATATATTTTCCTCTGAACTTTTATGATGTTACAGCGTATAGATTGATATGAAACTTGTATGAATTTATATGTTTAAAAATATATGTTGAGCTTTTTTTATCACATGACCGTATTTGGGGAACTAGGTTTGACAAAAAATATGTTAGGGGTACTTTCGATGGTAAAATAGGTTTGAGAAAAAAATATTTAAACACTACACATGTCTAAATGATCAAACTAGTAAAAAAAAGTGGTTTAAACGGTGCCTAAAACATGTGTAAATGTCAAAACAGGCATTGAAACGGCCGTTTAGACGATAAACATGAAAGTTTGGGTGCTAGATGAACTTTTTAGGTGGGCGTGAAATTGGACTAGCATGTGAGGAGGGGAAATTTTAGTGCTATTTAAACCATGTTTATATGACTATGTTTATGACTGTAGGTACAATTGATTATTGTCCATGTCAAATTCATGCCTCACTTAAGCATGTGTGTATGCAAAAGAGATGCGCTCTCAAAATGACCTGTTTGTCGATGTGAAAGTTGCCGATGTGAAGCTCCCTGACGTTGGAAATGGCTGTGAACATCTGGACGTAGTCTCTGTCGTCTGCAGAGTCGTTGAGGAAGATTCTGGCCAACTCCAGGTTGGGAAGCGGCCCAAGCTCCCAGAGGCCAGCGCCAGCGATCCGCAGGCACAGGACCAGCCGCCGGAGGTTGGGCGCCTGGATGACCCACCTGCCTGGGACTCCAAGTTTTGCAGGGAAAGAGATGTTTTGCAGGCGGAGCTCCACGAGCGTGGGCATGGCCGCAGAGACCATGGCCTCCAGCTGCACCCAGGCATTCCTACCCGTGAAAAACACGTCGTCCAGATCGAGTTTGGCTAGCCTGTGGAACCCCGTGAAGTCGGCAGGCGCCGCCGGGATCCTGCAGCAGCGCAGCTCCAGCTCGGCCAGCGCGGCGGGGTCGCAGCGGAAAAGCGACGGCAGCGGCGCCCACCCAGTCGTTGGCGCGGTCTCTTCCTCGCGACGGCGCCCACCCAGTCGTTGGCGCGGTCTCTTCCTCGCGACGGGGAGCTTGAGGGACAGCGAGCGCGGGCTCTTCCTCGCGACGGCGCCCACCCAGTCGTTGGCGCGGTCGTAGACGCTCAGCGGGACGCCGCGGATGCTGACGCGACCTACGGGGGCCGCGCAGCGCTCGAGGAAGCCGGCGGCGGAGTCCCAGGCGCCCCCTTCGTCGCGGACGTCATGGAGCTCGATGTCGAGGCCCGGGATCGACTCCCAGCGGCGGTGCCACGGCGGCGAGAGCACGGACGTGCGAACCATGTCGCGGGCGGGCAGGCTGGCGAGGATCTTGTCGAGGACATCCGTCGGGAGGTCGCCCAGCAGGTCCACCGCACGCTCCGGCTGTTGCGGCGGCGTCGGCTGAGATTCGCGGCGGCGGCGGCGGCGGCGCATGGTTGGTTGGTGGCTACAGTGATTTGGGGATGGGCCAGATCATTTCATTTCATCCCTGGTACACGCAGCTCGCACTACTAGGTAAACCTTTTGCAGTGCCGGCTTAACGTGATTTGCAGGGATGGTTTGGCGAGCCGGCTCTACAAAGCGTGGCTATAAATTATATATTTGTATAGATGGTTTTTAAATTGTTTCTATAAATCGATTTGGGTCTCTACAAAATCGATTTGTAGAGGGCGGTTGTAATACCAGTCACTCTATAATATCTGTTTATAGGGGTGGTTCTGTTGTATATTTTTTCACCAAAAAATTTTAATTTACAATTTAAATTGATCCAGAACATATATATATATATACATATATAATTTAAATCTGACCAGAACATATATATATATATATATATATAATTCAAATCTGACCAGCACATATATAATTCAAATTTGATCACTGGCACAAGAGCACAAGGTGTTGGCACTGAGAATTTCTACCTAAATGAACGTTACAGGTATGTATATAAACATATAAGCTACTGAGAATTGTCGATATGTATACGTCTTGACACATGCTACAACTCCTTTGTGAACGGTATCGAAGGAAAGAAGTAACCTGTCACTTCTTCAAGTCTTGACCAAGATACAGGTATTGAAGGAAAGAAGTAACTAGTCAAGTTTGAAAACCTGTTATGGCTACAAACATAATAGGGGATCAATATGAAGAAAATTTAAGCCTTCTGCCATGCTCAGACCTATTTTATGTCAAGGGAAAATAGGGTACCGATATGAATTGGAAGATACATTATCTGCTAAATGTCAATTGAAGCACTCTAAACAGCATAAATTATTGACCAATATTTGTATGGTTTTGAAAGGACATGGGCAAAACAATACAAACAACAAATTTAGGGAAGAAAGGAGAGATGGTATGAGGGTGAATGCATACCACTCTAATAGGAATTGCAGAGTGTAAGTTCTTTGTTGTATTCAGGATTGGTACTCTTTTCTTGTCCTGAACTCCTATGAACGGTGGACTCACCGAAACCGAAATCTTGAGCGGGGAACCGACGACGGCGTGCGGCAGAAGCTTGAACCCGATGGTGGTGGCGGTGCTAGGTCTACGGCGGCTGCGAGCTCTAGGCGAGGCGAAAAACTTGTTGTAAGGCGGGATAGGGAGGCGGCGTAGGCGCGGGCTCGGCTTTTATGAGGCGGGGTGAAGTGGGGAGCTTCGCCAGCGATCAGCATAAGCCCTCGGTCCGCTACGAGGAGCTGGAACAAGCCGGTGATGGGCCGCCTGCCTTGGGCTCGGGGGCTAACCAGTCGTCGGCTCCATCCGACCCCGAGGTCATGGAGCTTAACGAGGATCCAGCGACAGAGCCCGATCCTCTGGCTGACTGGAGGACGCCTTACCTCGACTACCTCCTCCGTGAGGCGCTGCCGACGGACAAAACAGAGGCTCGGCGGCTCACACATCGTGCCAAGTCCTTTGTCCTTATTGAGGGTGAACTCTACAAGCGAAGCCACACCGGGATCCTACAGCGCTGCATCCCCATCGAATAGGGGAAGCGGTTGCTGAGCGATATCCACGGTGGGGTCTACGGTCACCTTGCCGCGCCTAGAACCCTGGTCGAAAACACATTCTGACAAGGCTTCAAATGGTCGACCGCAGTAGCTAACGTCGAACAGATTGTGCGCACCTGTGAAGGGTGTCAATACTATGCTCGGTCAGACCCACCTGCCGACACAAGCGCTCCAGACGATCTCCATCATGTGGCCGTTCGCGGTCTAGGGGCTCGATCTGGTCGGACCTCTCAAAAGGGCGCCCGAGGGCCATACACACTTACTTGTCACCGTAGACAAGTTTACAAAGTGGATAGAGGCTCGACCGATCTCCGCGATCAAGTCCGAGCAAGCGTGCTATTCTTCCTTGACATCATCCATCACTTTGGGGTCCCGAACTCCATCATCACGGACAATGGCACGTAGTTTACCAGAAAGAAGTTCCTCTGATTTTGCGATGAATACCACATCCACGTCGATTGGACCACCGTGGTGCACCCCCGCATGAACGGGCAGGTCGAGCGTGCAAACGGCATGGTCCTACAAGGCCTCAAGCCTAGGATCTTCAACCGGTTGAACAAGTTTGGTGGACAATGGGTCGCGGAGCTTCCTGTGGTGCTCTGGAGCCTGAGGACGACCCCCAGCCAGGCCACCGGCTACACACCATTCTTCACGATCTACGGTTCCAAAGCTATCCTCCTGACCAACCTTGACTATGGAGCACTAAGGGTTAGGGTGTATGACGAACATGGAGCCAAGGCGTCCCTCGAAGATGCCATGGACCAGCTAGATGAAGCGCGTGACGTCGCCCTCCTCTGCTTGGCCAAATACTAGCAAGCGTTGCGCCGGTACCACAGCCGTCGAGTGTGGGGTCGGACCTTCAACGTCGGAGACCTGGTGCTTCGCCTCGTCTAGAGCAACAAGAACTACGACAAGCTCTCTCCGCCGTGGGAGGGACCGTATGTCATTGTGGAGGTGCTCTGACCAGGTGCCTACAAGCTCAGGACCATCGACGGTGTAGTCTTTGTCAATGCCTAGAATATCGAGCAGCTACGTCGCTTTTAACCTTAATATACGCACGCTTTCTCTTATCAGTTTCACTATCAACTCCCTGATCTTTAAGTGACGCCCAACCCCAGCAACGGTAAAGGGTCGGGCCTCACTCGGGGGCTGATAAGAGCATATCTATCCGGTAGACATTCTATACGGCCGACCCTTTCTCACGTTAAGACCCAGAAGCAAGGTTTGCGAAAACAAACACTGAGTAAAACTGGTCGGACTACAAGAAACCTACGCCCCAGCGGCTACCGCATTTTTGCTCACCAGAGTGATCAGAGTTTTTTTCGTACCCCGAGCTTTTTAGCCTTAACTACGGAAAGAGTTGGTACGCGTCTAAGAGTATATCCACATGGCGAACATTCTATGTGCCCAACCCTCCCTCATGTTGAGACCTAGAAGTTAGGGTTGTGGAAACGAACGCTGAGTAAAACTGGTTGGACTGCAAGAAACCTACGCCCCAGCGGCTATGGTGTTTTTGCTCACCGGCGTGATTAGAGTTTGTCCACTCGCACCCCGAGCTTTATGGCCTTAACGATGGAAGGGGTCAAAACGCACTAACCTTTTTATACAAAAAGGGGAGAAGGGCTAAAAATCTGTTTAGCTATAACGAGATTTAGGAGCTTGTTCACTTGTTACAAGTTCGCCGCCTGGCTTATCTACCTAACCAATTTCTTGGTCAGGATGATCTCATCCTTTATCTCCATAGGTAAGTCCTGTGCCAGCGGGTCACATAAGTCAATCGGATGACTTGGCCACTGCCGTGAGACAGGTAAGGAGTAGTAGGATGCCCGTGCGGGTTATGCCGACTCCATCACAAACAACGGACCCAGATTCCACTCGGACATATCTGGTAAGAGCTCTCCGAACCCGTCACTCGAGCCATCAAGGTAAGTCTTATGCCAGTAGGTCACCCAAGTCGTTCGGACGACTTGGGCCACTGCCAAGAGATGGGTCATCTTTAAGTGACACATAACCCCAGCAACGGCAAGGGATCGGGCCTCACTCGGGGGCCGACAAGAGTGTCTAATAGGTAGACATTCTCTATGCCCGACCCTTTTTGACGCTAAAACCTAGATGCAAGGTGTGCGAAAACAAACTCTAAGTAAAACTAGTCGTACTACAAGAAATCTACGCCCTAGCGGCTATGAAATTTTGCTCACCAGCATGATCAGTGTTTTTGTCCCCGCACCTTGAGCTTTAGCCTCCGCCTTCCCGGGAAGGGTTTGGAGGGGCCCACCTATGGAATCTCCATCGAGGAGAGGCCCGCAGGTCACCCAAAGTCTATCGGACGGCTCGAGCCGCTGTCGAGAGATAGGTATGGAGCAGCAGGATGCCCCATGCGGGTTATGCCGACTCTATCATGAACGACGGACCCGAACCTGTCACTCGAGCCATCGAGGTAACTTTATCAAACCCCACTTTACTTTTCCAGTGCATGAGCATTCATTCATCCATTCTCATGCATGCATTCATACACTCATTCATACATTCATCCACATATTCATCCCATACATCCAAGCATTGCATATGCAATTGTTGCACCACAATGCTTCGCGTCGCGTCACGAAGCGGTAGTCATCTCATTTGATATGAGCGATGACTGACCGAGTTTCAAAGGCTGGCCCGTGAAGGGCTCGAGGCCGCCTCGCGTCAAACAGAGCAAGGGGAGAAAACGCAGATGAGCCCCAGCGGCCCTTGCCTGACCTCGCTCAGAAGTGGACAGGGACATCTCGACCTTCTTGTTCAATCCTAACCTCGAGCCAAACCCATAGAATCTCTATCGAGGGGAGGCCAGCGGGCCACTTGAGTCGGTCTCTGAAATGACTCGGGCATCTACCGGGAGGCAGGTTAAGGAGCAGTGGAATGCCACATGAGGGCTATGTCGACCCTATCATGAACGACGGACCCAGATTCCATTTAGGCATGCCCGTTAGCGAGCTCACTGAGCATGACACTCGAGCCATTGAGGCAAGTGTCGTTAGCTCAACCCCTCTGATTGTGGAAACCACGGATGGTGTGACACATAAAACTCGACCAACCCTCACCGAGCCCAACGGGGCTCGGGGGCTTGAGCCGCCCGACCCCAACTCGGGAATCCGACCAACTGAGGTTCGAAGGCTGGCCTGCGAAGGGCTCGAGGCCGCCTCACGTCAAACAGAGCTAGGGGAGAAAACGTAGATGAGCCCCAGCGGCCTTTGCCTGACCCGCTCTGAAGCGAATAGGGTCATCTCGGCCTTCTCGTTCAATCCTAACCTTGAGCCAAGCCCACAGAATCTCCGTCGAGGGGAGGCCAATGGGCCACCTAAGTCAGTCTCCACAATGACTTGGGCATCTACCGGGAGGTGGGTTAAGGAGCAGTGGAATGCCATATGAGGGCTATGCCGACCC